CAAAAAATTTTTTTTTTTTTTTTTTTTTAGTGTTTATAAGTTTAATTAAAAAAAAAATAGTTATCAAACGGTGTCATAAAATTTTAGTTTTTTATTTTTTAAATCAAATTTTCCGACACTATTTCCACCCATAAATTTCTTGGTTTTAATTAGACTAAATTATAAAAAAAAAAATGCCTATAATTTTATATTTTATCTAATAATATCTATATATTTTTAAAATTTTCAATAATATTCTTGAATTTTAAAAAAGTTTCAAAAAAACAGGTGGCAAAAAAATACTTTTAAACTTTAAAAATATTCATTAATATTTTTTTAAATTAAAAAATACTCTGATTATCAGTAGTAGCAAACACTTAAAAGAAATTTTTTAATATCAATATATGAAAAACAATCTTCTATTACACCATATATATTATTTCAAATTTTTTTAATGTTCTTTTTTAAAGTTTATGAATATTTTAAAAGATAAATATATTTTTAATTTTTTTAAAAAAAGTTTTAAAGCATTTTTTAAATTAAAAGAAAAAGTTAAAAAAAATATTAATAAAACTTTTGAAAATAACATTATTTTTTAAACAATTTTTAAAGTATAAAATTAAAGAAAAAAATATTTTTTGTATCTTTAATTTTTTTTTTTTTGAAAGAAGTTAATATTTTTTTTTTAGACACAGTAAAAGTTGGAAGGTAATTTATTTATTTAGGTTTTTAATTATCTATTTTGAAAAATGCTATCAAACTTTAAGACAATTTTTTAAAATGTATTTTTGTTTTTTAAATGTAAGAAATCAAATATTGTTTGAAATTTTTTAAAAATACAAATCCAAATTCAAAACTTTCAAAAAACTATATTATAATTTAATTTGAGATTTGATTATGCTATATATTATATTATATTATATTATATTTTTTAAAAAACTTTTTATATTTGAAAATTCGTGTTTTTAGTGCCGTCCATAGTGGAGAACAGTGGGATTCTGAAGCCAAAGGCCAATTTTCCATAACTATGGAATGTTTCACTTTAGAATACTTCTTCTTCTTATGCTTTTTCCTCCATCAAATTTCTACGCTTAACAAATTTCTACGGACTTTTCTTTGGTTCTAGGACATGTGGTTATGGTCTTAGCTCTTTTGGAAACTGTTAAAATATCTCAGGAAGTCAGGTATGTCATCTTTATAAAGTAGATTTGGAAGATGTAGTCTATTTACTATGTTATTTAGATGACATGTTTAGAATCATTCAAGCTTGACATGATTGATCTTGTAAGTGCATTAAATATATATATTAAAAAACAAGTCAAATAAAAAATATTTGATAAAAAAAAATGGGGATAAAGAGAGATGGGAGACTTTTGTTGAGAGTCAAGAACAATAGAATCTTTGCAACTTGAAACAATTCTTTTCAATCACACATTGGATTGAAGTGTTTTAAAATTTGAAGATATTAAAAATTAAATTAGAATAAAGTTTTATAAAAGTGAAATGTTTAGCGATATATATATTTAATTTTGTATTTTAAACTTATATTTAACCTATCAATTAATTAATTAAATTAATTTATAAACTCAAAAGTTGAAATAATTTAGTTTATATTTGCACAAAAACAAAAATTCAAAATCAATAATCAGAAAAGGCTAATTAGGTGGACCGACCGCTTGACGGTCCATCTCTATTTAAACCGACCGACCCACCAATTCAATGGCCATCATATTATTGTTTAAAAATTATTTAAAAAAATATTTTAATAAATTGAGTCTCAAGCATACAACTTTAGGAATTAAATTTGAATTTCTCATCTAAAACGGGAAAATTCTGAGACCAACTTTAAAGAAATGCTCAGTTTGGGTAACGAAACTGAAAAAAAAAGTGAGATGCCCAAAAAATAAATAAAAAGATGCGTGGGGACACGTGTACGGTGGATGGCGTCGGACGGGCCTCTATAAATCGCGGTGAAACGAGTGGTTTGAAATCAGCCAGCTTCAAGTTTCCGATTAAAATCCAAACATTTGAGTTCCGTTCGTCGTTTAAGAAGAAAGAAGAAAGAAGAAAGATGCCGAAGTGTGGATGTGGCTCTGCCTGCAACTGCGATCTCAACAACTGCTCGTACGTATTTTCTTCTTCTCTTTACCAAAATTTTTCCGGGAAAGCGGCAGGGGCTTGTTTGTTTCTCGGGAATTTGATTTTCTCGAGAAAATTCTGACTCTGTTTTGATTTATTTTGTGTGTAGATGCAAACATGATGCCGCTCCCATCATGAAACAGTATGAATTTACAGCCACCATTCGTGTTCTTCGAAGTTTTTAATATAAGATTTTGATCTTTTATTTGTTCGTTTTATGGATTATATTCGTGTTTTTTTGTAAAGCAGGAACTTGTCGGGCGGCTGCAAATGTGGAGCGAATTGCAGTTGCGACCCGTGCAACTGCTAAAGAAAGGCGTCGGAGCTTTCGATATGAAAGGGCATAATTTAGAGCAAGGGTTGGGTTTGGTTCTGTGTGTTTGTGTGTGTAAGGTGTTTGACAAAATGCCGCTTACAAATACTTCAAAGAAATAATGAACCACATATATATCTATGTACCTTTGTTTTCTAATGTTATTTCAAATGGGCTGGTTATGACTGCCCAATTTCTATTATTATTATTATTATTATTTTGGGAATAACCTCAAACATTTATTGTTAATCAAATGATAATCCATTTTAGATATAATAACTATCTTGTAATTGTTACAAATTATTTGCTTAAAAAAATATGGATGAGAAAAGAATTATAATTTAGTTATGAACTGCTCTTTGATTTGTATGGGTGAAAATAGTTGTGTAATTGATTCAATAATCCACCATTAGACCAAACAGTGGACTACAAAATGAAATTCGCACTTTAAGGGGAACTTCGTTTATGATTGAGTAGTTTAATAAGAGCTGTTTTGAAAGGGCCTTAGTTTATAAAGGTGAGTAGATGAGTAGTAATAAGAGCTAACCTCGAGGCTTGAACAATGGGGCTTCATCCTTAGTATTCCAAGAGGGACTTAAATTATGATTGAAGTATAAACAAATTTTTTATTAGAGAATCGGTGGTATTTAAGATATAAAATATAATTATAGGAGTAAATATAAATAAAAAATTAATTAATAAATATTATATCATTGTTACTTAGGCAATTTCATAAAATCTGTCACTAGCTTTTGAGTTGAAATTGACATATATTAAATATAAAAGGAGAAATATTATCAATTTATATTTAATATATTAAATATATTAAATATAAAAAGAGAATAATATATTTAATTTTAATTTTAAATGGATATTTAATATATTAAATATAAATAAAAAATGTATTATTCATAAGTTTAAAATTTAAATAAGATTCAAATTTGGTTAAATATAATATTGAAATATCTTGTGATATCTATATATGATATAAATATAATATTATATTTTAATATATTAAATATTCATTTTTAAATTTGGTAAAACTCGAGAAATAAGTGGAATTGGAGATAAATCCTTCATAAGAAGTATATAAAAAAAATGAAAATTAACTTAATTAAATGTTATCTTATCCGACCATAATTTTGTTTTTTAGTTTAAAAGAATTAAGTATATAAATACAATTTATGAATTTTTTTCACTATTTTTTAATAAAAATATTATCAAATTCAAATTTAAATTTAAAAACTAAAAAAATATTTAAACTTTTTAATATTTGAAATTTAATCAAGAAGCTGTAATGAATTTAGTAGTGTACTTTTTAAAATTTATAACTATTTTATAGTTATTTATTTATTTATTCCAAAAATCACTTTTAGTTACGTGGGAGAAAAAGAATTCGATATTTTTGAGCCGTCGGTAGTGGAGAAATGTGAGATTCTGATGTTGAAACCCAATATCATATTAGAATAATTCATATTTAATGGCTTAAGTTTTATAATAACCAATTTCTCCAATATCATATTCATATTTTCAATTATCGGGAAAATGATCAATCATTTAATTTTTTTTAATATTAAATACTTTTTAAAATTTATGAATTAAATGTTTCAAAAAAAACAAAATTGATCTTCGATTCGCTTCTCCAATCGATGTGAAATTTTACAACCTGCCTCTTTGGAAGCCAACGTTCTCGTTGGCACACCATTTAGTATCTGGTTTTGATACCATTTGTAACAATTCAAGCTAGCGTTCATCGCTCTAATCAATGTGGGATCTCACAATCCGCCCCCCTTGGAAGCCAACATTCTCCCTAGCACACAGTCTAATGTTTGATTCTAATTCCATTTGTAATGTAACAACCAAGTTGACACACCACCACTAACAGATATTGTCTCGTTATGTATCGACGTCAGTCATTTTGGTTTAGCAACCGTATCCTTTCTTTTCAATGGCTTTTAAAATCTTCTACTGTTCTTCTTCGCCACTACTACTGGCGGCTTTGACGCCTCAGGGGGCAATCGTCATGTTTGCCACATGCAGAGCCGATTGATTACTATTCGGCTCCACCCTTTTGACCTCCAAATCATCCTTCGTCATACTTTGTACATACAACCTCACCTTTTCCAACACAATCGATTTTTTCTCAACCAATACAATCTCTTTCATTTTCTTCCCAACCTTCCCTTCATCCTTCACATAAACCCTAATCTAAACCTATTAACCTTCTGCAGAGATTTATCTTTGAAATCTGTGCGTCACACTGGCCTCTTCGCCAACCAAGTTGCCGCCGCCCTTCTCACAAAAATTGGCTCATTCGCCCAATGTGACGACTCTTCCAGCTTCAACATTGTCTTTGTCCCTTGCTCTAGGTTTCCCCTTCTACTTCTTGGGGTTAGACATATTCTCACTAGAGCCAAGGAAGCATCGTCGCAAAGTGACAATCCCTTTTCATGGGTTAGACATATTCTTGTTGAAGCCAAGGCAACATCGCCGCTGAACGACGATCCCTCTGCAATTTTCGATGGCCAAAAAAGTGTTTATCTACGCCTCCTCTCATCTAGGTTTTTGACATCTTCACAAAAAGTGTTTCTCAACCTCTTTGAATTTGTCAGATTTAAGTTTCACGTTCGTTTAAATCTAACCCTTAGCTTACTGTGGGATGTTAAGGATATTTAGTAATAAATTATAGTTTACCATATATATTATATTTGATATTTTATTATAAGTCAAATATCTAATATTTTTCATTTTATTGTAATTTATTTAATTATAAATAAGGTAACTTTAACCGTATGAAGGTGGTGACTGCAAATGGGTCGCCAATTGCAACTGCTACCCCAACTACCCACCGGTGTAGGCGTCTGCGAGACGCGCAGCTGTGGCTTCAATATGTAAACATAGTGTTGGGTCTGAACTGATTATGTGTGTGCAAGGTGTTTGACGATGCACTTGTGGGTAATTCAAATTTGTTTCAATAGGTTCTAAGAAGTGAGATCCGAGAAGAAACCAAAAGGCTAGGATGTCTTTAGAGAAGCCGAGGTACTCAAACCTATTAATACGAAAAATTCTTAATATAATTTATATATTTTTATTTGACTCGAGTCTAACTCGAGGTTTTATCCACAACTCCAAAACCGAATCGATTTAGTTCGGGTTCAAAAAAATGAACCCAACCCTACCCGAAATGGGGATCCAACCCAACCCAATCTTTATAGTTCGGGTTGGGTTGATCGGATGTCGGATTGAATGTACACCCTTAGATTATAGCAAGTGCAGGAGGGAAAATCGAGCGTGGGACATAACGATCATTTCTAGAAAAGTTATGAAATTTTTAGCAGACACGGGATTGAAGATGTGTGGAACTCACGTGCGCATGGAAGTGTGCGTGGCCAAGGATGGATTGGCTCATGGACGCGCGTGTGAGTGTGTGAGGGCCAGGTGTGTTGTCTCGATTTGTCCCGTTCGATTCTTTTAATTTACCCTATCAATATTGACTCATATTAATCTCGAAAATTATTAAATACAAGTGTAATGTAGCATTTTTATTCTCTTCGGCATGATACGTGATATATAGGAGTGTTATTATATTGACTCTGTTGTGATATTATTAGTAATTTCATCTCTCAGGTCATACAGCTTTTCCCCCAACTTTCTTCTCTGAACCGAGGCAAAGAAGGGAAAATAAATTTGACTCTGTTGTGTTCAATAGTTTGATCTGTTGGAAGGATTTTGGGGCATTTAATCTATTCGTTTTCCTTTTCGAAGTTGGTGCAAGCTTATGATTGGATTTTGCTGATGGGAGATTGCTGGAGTGATCGCTTCAAGTCTGTGAATCCTCATACAGGTACCTAATGCCTCTGATTTGAAACTCCCGTTCTTTTATCTGATTTTTCGAATTCTAAGCTTAGTTCGGGATGATTTCGAGTACATATCGGCTCAACTGTTTAATGGATCTTAGATTAGATAGATGCCTTCGAATGTTGCAGATTAGGTGTTTCTTTAAATGTTCTTTGCTTGGAGTTTTCTTTTTGCCTCTTTGGTGGTACTTTGGGTCTTAGATTAGATACGAACCAGGACGATGGTGATATGAATGAATTACGTTTCTCCCTGCTTCTGTTCAGTTGTTTATCTTCCATTTCCTTGAATTCTTTGTTGTCATTGAATCGAGAGTTATCATAGTTCGTAAACAGGCTCGAACAATCACAGAACTGATCGAGAGTTCATTCTGATCACATTTTGAAATAACTTCCTTATACTTTGATTTGATTGACTTACTGAATGAATTAACTGCTATCATGTGGCGTTTCTGATTCAACGCAAGTGGAGGCATCTAGTTTGTATATGTTCTTGGGATGTTTCACATAAAGATTAGTGGCATTTCTGAATGTTTCAATTGTATGTTCTTTGCTGGCTGCAGGTCTTACAAGTCTTACAAGTTTCAGGTCTAAGAGAGGAGATGGGGAACATTCTCATATTTCCAGCAGCAAGGTATCCTCCGCCTCCAGCTTTAAATGGCTTCTTTGACGACGGCTCACTTCTGAATTGATTCGGATTACTTGATGAATGAAAATTTTGTCTTTGGACTCTCTTTTTTTTTCCAATGTCAATTCTGTTGCCCCTGATGACCCTTCTGTTTATTTCACGGCTTTGGATTAGGGATTCGACGAAAATGAAGTCTTCGAGCTAACCTTTGACGATCTTGACGGTCTTGACCTCCTCTCTGAGGCTGACGATTTCCTCATCTGGGAGAGAATTTGGATCAAACTACCAATTCACAGGATTCGGCTACTGATGCTCAGCCCCATCCTGACCCAGAAATAGCGGCACTGCTTGATGATGATGATTTATCACAATTTGGTGTTGATGTTGAGGACTTGAAGGAGGATTTCGTAGTTCATGCAAATTTATGTGAAGAAGGGGAGGATGGTTCAACGGATAGTAAGTTTAGTGTGGCTAAGGATTCTGAGAAGGCGACAGGAAGTCAGAATATTGTTAATAACAAATCTTTTGGCGACGACATTTTTGAGGATGCAGACGTTAACCATGTGGAAGATGATGTTGATAAGCCACGAACTCGGCGGCTTTTGGATGATTGATTTGACACCCTCTTAAGTCAGGACTATGCATCTAGTGACAATGGTGACCGTGCTTGTGATGAGCATGATGGTTGGGTAGCTGAGGAGGATGAGTCCCTTGCTCAGAAGCTCAAGCATGCCCTTGGTGATCATAGTAAGGATGACTTGGACCTTGAGTCCCTTGCGCAGATATTGAATGGTGAAAAAGGATCCGAAGATCAAGACCTTTTGCAGTCTGCGAGAGATGTAATACTCCATGCAACCATTGCATGGAGTATGCTGAGTCTGAGTCTACCCAAAGTGAGATGAATTATTACTCTTTGTCATTAGAATTGAAACAATCAAAAGCTCAGATTCAATCATTGGAGGGTCATATCAGTAATTTGGATCCTGCCGTTAAGACCTTGGAAGAGACCATATTCATGAAACCAGATTATGTTGATGCTCACTGTGATTTGGCCTCCGCTTTGCATGCAATGGGGAAGATGAGCGAGCAATTGAGGTGTTTCAGAAGGCAATCGACTTGAAGCTTGGCCATGTAGATGCTTTGTATATTTTGGGTGGACTTTACGTGGACTCAAATGGTGAAAGGGGTTTTATAATTGTGGAAGCCTCAAAGTTTAAGACCATTGGATAGAAGACTGTTTTGAGATCAAAAGTGTCAAATGCTCTCAAAATTAGATCTTTTCAGAAGATTACCAGATTGAATCCGTGTGACGTGGAACTTATTCAGGTGGTGTGCACATGATGTGTCGGTGTCTTATTCAGGTGGTGGCGTGCCTGAGAAGTCCATACGCAAGCCTAGCTGGAAGAAATTCTTCGTAGATTATTTTGTTCAAGAAAACGTGCTAACGCAGAATGTTGAATTGCAGAAAATACATACTAATGAGCAAGTTGCAGACATATTTACTAAGGCACTTGCCAAAGTGAAGTTTGAAGTTTTTCGTAAAAGCTCTCGAAGTTATTAAGAAATAAGCTTGCACTAAGGGAGACTATCAGAATTTTTTGTGCAACTTATTTCAAGTTTGAATTTGTTATGGAATATATGATATTCGTAATCATTTAATATCTTTAAGAATATATTAGTTAGAAAATATATTTTAGATATTCGTAATCAGTTAAATTTATTATCAAGATTAGTTAGTTTATATTTTATTTGTAGATATTATTTAGTATCTTGTATCCTATTTAAAGGTTGTGAATATGAATGAAAATTAATAACCTTTGATCCCAATTTTATTTCTCATTCTTCGACCTGTATTCTTTAGTTGAGTAATAATATTGTGGTAGATATGGCGTCAGAAATTCTGCATTGCTCTAATCTGAAACACTTTAGCTTTAATGAATTGAGAACGACAACGAGAAATTTTCGCCCCGACAGTGTTGTTGGGGAGGGTGGATTTGGTTCAGTCTTCAAAGGTTGGATTGATGAGCATTCCTTAACTCCCACCAAGGCTGGCACTGACTTGGTAATTGCTGTGAAGAGGCTCAATAGAGAAGGGCTGCAGGGTCACAAGGAGTGGTTGGTTCGTATCCAATTTTCCTCATTCCCCTTACTTAGTTTTCCAGTTTTCTTTGGTTCCTAACTGCATTGAAGTTTTATTGTGAGATCCCACATCAGTTGGGAGGAGAACGAAACATTTTTTATAATGGTGTGAAAATCTCTTTCTAATAGACTCGTTTTAAAACTTTGACGAAAAACTCGAAAGGGAAAGCCTAAAGAGGACAATATCTGCTAACAGTGGGCGTGGGCCGTTATAAATAGTATCAGAGCCAGATACCAAACAATGTGTTAGTGAGGTTGAGTCTTGAAGGGGATGGACACAAGGCGGTGTGCCAGTGTTAAAGATTACGTGTTTGTTTAGATTGCTATATTTGATTAAATCTTCTGATAGTTAGGAGTCGATTTGTTTTTTATTTGATTTACTTTTGATTTGATCAGATTTTGTTTTGTTTTGATTTGATTATTAATTTGTTACCAGATTTTTATATAGAGCATTCTTGCTCTTCATAATTCAATCTTCTCATCGACCATTCAATAACTCAGTCTTTCACTAACAATTGGTATCAGAACTATCTTCTTAAGGGATCTGTGAGATCAAGATAGAAGAAGAATTCAATTTTTCCGCTGTTGCACCACCAGTCTTCGATGGAGACAATTATCAAATGTGGGCAGTTCGTATGGAGACTTATTTGGAAGCCTTGGATCTTTGGGAAGCAATAGAAGAGGATTAAGAGGTCCCTCTGCTTCCAGCAAATCCTACTGTAGCACAAATCAAATTACAGAAGGAAAAGAAGACAAGGAAATCAAATGCGAAAGCTTGCCTATTTGCCGTTGTATCTCAAATGAGATTCATGCAAATAATGTCCCTAAAAACAGCAAAGGAAATCTGCTCAAAACAGCAAAGGAAATCTGGGATTATTTCAAGGCTGAATATGAAGGAGATGAGAGGATTCGTGGAATGAAAGTCCCAACTTTGATTAGAGATTTCAAGTTGCAGAAGATGGAGTCGGAGTCGGTGAAAGAGTACTCTGACAGACTTCTCAGCATTGCCAACAAGGTGAGATGGCTTGGTTCTGTATTAAATGATTTCAGAATCATTGAAAAGCTGCTAGTCACTGTTCCAGAGAAGTTTGAAGCCACCATTACTACTCTGGAGAACACCAAAGACTTGTCAAAGATTTCTCTTACAGAGCTTTTGAATGCTTTACAAGCACAAGAGCAAAGAAGGTCTATGAGGCAAGAACGGGTGATTGAAGATGCCTTACCTGTTAAGCATCAAGACAACCGCAGGTATAAAAACAAGAAAATTTTCAAAAACCAATCAACGTATGGAGATCCATCTGCAAATTATCAGAAGACAAAAGGAGGAGGTTCCAAAAAATCCTATCCACCTTGCCGCCATTGTGAGAAGAAAGGTCATACACCATACAAGTGTTGGAGAAGATTTGACGCCTTCTACTCAAAATGCAATCAACTTGGACATGAAGCTGTGATCTGCAAAGCCAAAGATCAGATGAAAGAAGTAGATGCACAGGTAGTTGATCAAGAAGAGGAAGAAGAAGATCAATTGTTTGTGGCCACTTGTTTCTCAGGCAAAGAATCAAGCGAGAGCTGGTTGGTTGACAGTGCGTGCACAAATCATATGACATATGACAAGGAGTTTTTTGAGAAATTAAGAGACACTGAAGTCAAGAGAGTGGGGATTGGCAACCGTGAACACTTGGAAGTCAAAAGAAAAGGCACAGTAGCTATAACAAGTTATGAAGGTACAAAATTTATTCCAGATGTTTTATTTGTACCTAAAATTGATCAAAATCTCTCAGTGTTAGTCAGTTACTTGATAAAGGCTATAAAGTGTTGTTTGAGAATAAGCAGTGTTTGATCAAAGATGCTAGTGGCAAAAACTTGTTCAATGTCAAAATGAAAGGAAAAAGCTTTGCTCTAAATCCGATGGAGAAAGAGCAGATGACCTTTATATCTAAAGTTACTGCCACTGAGATTTGGCACAAAAGACCTAGGCACTTTCATCATCGAGGTTTGCTTTAGATGCAGTTAAAGAAGCTGGTAGAAGAACTCACTGACATTGATGACGACATGCCTCCTTGCCGTGCTTGTAATTTTGGGAAGCAACATAGGCAACCCTTTCCTAAACAGGCATGGAGAGCCTCGAAAAAACTGCAGCTGGTTCATACTGATCTTTGTGGTCCTCAGCGAACATCATCATTAAATGGTAATCTGTATTACATTATTTTTATTGATAATCTAACAAGAATGTGTTGGATCTTCTTTATGAAGCAAAAGTCAGAAGTTACGAGTGTATTTTGAAAATTCAAGGCCAGAGTTGAGAATGAAAGTGCATGCTTGATTCAGACTGTAAGATTAGATAATGACAAGGAGTACACTTTAGAAACTTTTAACAGGTTTTGTGAAGAGGCTGGAATTGAACATCAGTTGACAACACCATACACTCCTCAACAGAATAGCGTCGGTGAAAGGAGGAATAGATTCATAATGGAGAATGACGAGATTCATGCTTCATGAGAAGGATCTTCCAAAATGTTTTTGGGGAGAAGCAGCAAACACTGCTGTGTACTTGCAAAATCGAATTTCAACAAAAGTTGTGAAAGAACCAACACCATTTGAAGCTTGATATGGTTACAAACTTTCTTTAAAGTTCCTTAAAGTATTTGAGTGTCTTTGTTTCACTTACATTCCACAGGTCAAGCGTGATAAGCTTGACAAAAAGGCATAAGTTGGCATCTTTGTTGGGTATAGCATTATATCCAAAGCTTACAGAGTTTTTCAACCGCACACTATTCGGATTATTGTGAGCCGAGATGTTCATTTTGTTGAAAATGAGCAATGGAATTGAGAAGAACTGACGAAGGTGAATCAAATTTCTAATGCACCAAACAACTTAACCTTTGGTAGCATGTTAGAAGAGTCTGAAGATGAACGACTAGAAGAGTTTGAAGATGAACAACAAGATGATTTGGTTGATGATGCATCTGTGAGAGGTATAAGGTTACTATCTGATATTTATCAAAGGTGTAATGTAGTTATTTGTGAGCCTGCAGGGTTCCATGATGCAAAAAACAGCCAACATTGGATGCTTGCAATGCAGGAGGAGCTTTCGATGATCGAGAAAAATAAAACATGGAAGTTGGTTGATCAACCTCTAAACAGAAAGATAATTGGAGTAAGATGGGTATTTAGAACAAAGCTAAATCCTGATGATTCAGTTAACAAATACAAAGCAAGACTTGTTGTGAAGGGATATGCGCAAGTTTTTGGAGTTGACTATTTAGAAACATTTGCACCTATTGCCAGCCTTGATACAGTAAGATTGTTGCTTGATCTTGCTGCTCAAAAGAGTTAGGAAAGTATTCCAGTTAGATGTTAAATATGCATTCTTAAATGGAGTCTTGCCAGAAGAAATTTTTATTGAGCAACCTAAAGGTTTTGTGAGCAGAGGCAATGAAGATAAAGTCTACTTGCTGAGAAGGGCTCTATACGATCTTAAACAGGCTCTGCGAGCATGGTACAGTAAAATTGGTAATCATTCGGTTGGTCTTGCCTTTCAGAAAAGTCAATCTGAACTCACACTGTATGTCAAGCATGAAGGTACAAATACTTTAGTCATTTCTCTTTAGGTAGATGACTTATTAATTATAGGAAGCAATCCTAAGCAAATTAACAAGTTCAAACTGGAAATGAAAAAGATCTTCGAAATGACAGACCTTGGTCTTATGTCATATTTTCTTGGCATTGAGATCAAGCAAACCCAAGATGAAGTGTTCATTTGTCAAAGAAAGTATGCAAAGGAGATACTTAAAAAATTTCAGATGGAGGATTGCAAAGCAATGAATACTCCTATGAATCAAAAGGAGAAGCTGGTCAAAGATGATGGTTCTCCCAAAGTTATTGAAGTTGAGTTCCGGAGCTTGGTAGGGTGCCTGATGTACTTAACAACAACCAGACCTGATATCGTAAATGTTGTAAGTATTCTCTCCAGATTTATGCATTGTCCCATTAGTTTCTCTGACAGTGATTGGGGTGGCTCAATCGAAGACATGAAGAGTACATTTGGTTACTGTTTTTGCCTTAGATCAGACATGTTCTCTTGGTGCTCAAGAAAGCAAGAAACTGTAGCTCAATCCACTGCTGAGGCAGAATTGATAGGTGCAACAGCTGCAGTTAATCAAGCTTTCTGGTTAAGAAAAATTCTCGTGGATCTAAACTTGGAGCAAAAACACAGCACTGAGATACTAGTTGATAACCAAGTTGCTATTGCAATCTCCAATAATCCAGTTTTTCATGGAAAAACTAAGCATTTCAACATCAAGTCATTCTTTGTTCGAGAAGTTCAAAAGAGTAGTGATGTGACTCTTTGCTATTGCAAATCTGAAGATCAAATTGCAGATGTTCTTACCAAACATCTGCCACTTAGCAAGTTTGAAGATTTCAGAAAAAAAGTTTGGAGATTGCAGCATCTAAACCAGGAGGAGTGTTAAAGATTACGTGTTTGTTTAGATTGCTGTATTTGATTAAATCTTCTGATAGTTAGGAGGCGATTTGTTTTTTATTTGATTTGATTAGATTTTGTTTTGATTTGTTTATTGGTTTGTTACCGAATTTTCTGCCGATTTCTGGGTATATATATAGAGCATTCTTGCTCTTCATAATTCAGTCTTCTCATCAACCATTCAATAACTCAGTCTTTCACTAATGGGGTGGATTGAGGATCCCACATCAGTTAGGAAAGGAGAATAAAACATTCTTTTAAAAGAGTGTGGAAACCTCTCCATAGTAAAAGGTTTTAAAACCTTCAAAAAAAAATTCAAAAAAGAATATCTGCTACTAATGGGTTTGAGTCGTTACATTTATGCCGTCCTTTGAACATCTTGATTAAAGAAATGCAGGATTTATCTTGATTACAACTCAAGTTTTGCTTTGCATCAAAGATCATTGTTTAACATATATATATTGTAGCTATCCTTTCCCGGCTTCGGCTATAACGTGACTCAACTAAACGAATGATAAACATACAGGCGGAGATCAACTACTTGGGGCAGCTTTCCCATCCTAATCTTGTGAAGCTGATTGGTTACTGCTTTGAAGATGACCACAGGCTGCTGGTATATGAATTTATGCAAAAGGGCAGTGCGGAAAATCATCTTTTCAGAAGTGAGTAGCTGATTATGCAATGCTTTTCCATTTCCCATTTTTTCTTGTACAATGTTCTGTGTATAAGCTGCTACACTTTGTCGATACAGGAAGCTCTCACTTTCGACCACTTTCGTGGAACGTTCGGATGAAAATTGCTCTTGGTGCTGCCAGAGGACTTGCATTTCTTCACAACAACGACATGAACGTCATATATCGCGACTTCAAGACATCTAATATCCTTCTTGATGCAGTAAGAACTTACCAAGTTCTTTTCATCGATCCATTTATCGTGTTGACTCGCAGTTATTCGTAAAATGTGATCGTCTTTTTCCTCAAAATCTGCAGAACTACGATGCAAAGCTTTCTGATTTTGGATTAGCTAGAGATGGGCCAGTTGGAGATAGAAGTCATGTCTCTACCATAGTTATGGGAACTCGTGGATATGCAGCTCCTGAATACTTAGCCACAGGTTCTATTTCTCATAAAAAAGACTGATTGATTGGTTCCTCCCATGAATTGTCATATTTCATCATTCTAACCACATCCTTTCGTTCGTAAGGTCATCTCACGGCGAGGAGCGATGTATATAGTTTTGGGGTAGTTCTTCTCGAAATGTTATCAGGGCGACGAGCCATTGACAAGAATCGACCAACTGGGGAACACAACTTGGTCGATTGGGCAAGACCATATTTAGTCAACAAACACAAAATTCGTTGCATCATGGACAATCGACTCGAGGGGCGCTACACTCTCGGACAAGCACAAAAGGCAGCAAACCTTGCAGTTCTCTGCCTAGCCACAGAACCGAAGCGCCGACCGAGCATGAATGAGGTTGTGACAACGTTGGAGCAGCTTCAGAAACCATCTGAGATTTTGAGAAGTGAAGGAGGCAATTCTTTGCATCATAAGGCTAACCCAAATGGAGTATAACAAAAGGTTGAAGAGGATGCAACAGGCAAACTTGTGAATCGTACAGCTGCTGTAATGTAATGATATGTTTTTAACCCCAAATCTCTCTTCTGCAAGCAATTTTCTTTTCACAGCTTTGCCTTTCTCATCTTTTTTTACTTTGTACATGTGAATGTTTGATTAATCCACCACACCTAAATGGTGTGAAAGTTATCTTATTTATAATCAAATGAATTACAAGGATATGGAAATAATAATAAATGGAAAGATACGTATGATAATAAGGCAAATATAGATATTTGCCTTATAATAAAATATAAAATATAATATATATGGTAAACTATAATTTATTACTAAATATCCTTAACAGTACGCAACACTAATAAAAAAAATACTATTACGAACGTAACTATTGACGTCATGTTTTTAAAATATCCATTAATTTCGAAAATGAGTATCAATATCCTTAATAAAAAAGTTCTATACAGACGACTATAATTTCTCATTTCTCATTACTTCTTTGATCTATATTTTTCATTTTTAACTCGCTTTTTAGATGATTTTTTCCTCTTTTGTTTCTATGCATTTCCAAACATAAATATAAAAAAAAAAAAAAAAAATGGTTAGTTGGGTGTTGAAGTTTATTAATTTATGTGTAATTGCTATACACGAATCCGTCGGCGAGATGGGGGGACCCAGGACGGTTCAAGGGAAACGAGATAGCTCCACAATGGTATGATATTGTTACTCAGAGCATAAGCTCTTTTGACTTTGCTTTTGGTTTGCTCGGCATTGTACCAATAGATATAGTATTCTTTACTTATAAACTTACGATCCTCCTCTTAATTAGCCACTGCTCCCAATAATCCTCTGTATGAAAGAGATGCAGTTTAGAAGAAAATATAAGAAGAGTTGTGGGTCCTACTAATCCTAATTAGTTGGTGTCATGGAAGTTGAGTCGTTACAAGAAGTCGAGAATTCGTTCGAGGAGGTGGAGGTGTAGGGTTTGGTCAATTTTAATGATTCTCTCTAGGTGTGTATGACTAAATTATTTGTAATTTTGATTTTAGGTTTGATTCTTAACAATGGGTTTGGTTGGTTGCTTTTGTTCTTTCATTTATGTTAGAAGAAAGGTAAGGGTGGGCTTGTGGAATAAGAACTATGGTCCATTGGCTTACACCCTTATTTACTTTATTTTTCTTCCAAAGAATGAGATTCTTATCTCTCTTGATTCACTCCAACTATACCAAACTAATACGGTGTCGTTTATAAGAATTTTACGATTGTTGGATGAAAGACAACTATTCGATATCTAAGCATGTTTATCTTTCAAACAACATACGCACTTTAGACCAAAATTTTATATTGTCGCTGTAATATTCTCTAAAATTGTCCATAAGTCTTCTATCTTACATTTAGAGGTGTCCACAAGTGACGTTAGGATAGGGACATTTTCCTCATTCCAATCTTCTATCTCAATCTTCATCTTCGTGAAACTCTCTATTTGTTTTCGTGGAGATTGTGTTGATAGGTGGCTCAATTTTTAATATATATGTTTCAATAAAACATCGTAATAAATTTAATAATACTTTATAAGCAAAAATATAATACAATATTATCATTTCTATAAACTCAATTTTTAATATTATAACATAGTATGATATAAAAAAAAGTATATATACAAAAGGTGGAGTGGGACAGAGATTTGGATAGGAATGGGGACGAGAAATATAATGTTTATCTTCAGCATTATTTAGGATGCACATACCAATTTTTATAATGGGTCCTTTGATATTGTAGTAACTTTTCAAAATAGATTCTAAAAAAAAGTGGAGAAGAATAGTATGGTATAGAGAGAGGGTAAGGATTTATTCCAATACCAAAAAGAATAGGACCTAAAAAGATATTTGGTTAAAAGAAATAATAATAATAATTTTATTATTCCAATTCTAACCACTTTTAGGCTTAGCAGATATTGTCAGCTTTGTCGGATTGGGTTTTAAAAGAAACGTTTCGTTTCCCCTCAGAGTCTAGTATCTTGACTCTGATATGATACCATTTATAACAGTGACTCCGAGCTCAGATATTTGGCAGACATATAATGCAAAAAGATGGCATTATGTTACTATAAAAGCATCCTTTGGGAATGTAAATGTCACAATTTGGAGTGCTTTTTGGTTCCCAAAACCCTAAAAGTAACCTCCATTCTCCACCATTCCTTTCTTTTCTTCCCTAAACTTGTTGGATATAGTTGTTGGATATGGGACAAATTCCACCCTTTTGCCTTCTCCCATACCATCTTTTTGCTTTCAAATTACGGACCTTTTCTCATTAGAAACTGACTTGTCCGACCGACTCTCATACTGGCTAAACAATTTTAGCTTGCATTAATTAAATTTGCTAATAATTGTATTAAATTAAAATTATAAATTGAAAAGAGAGAAAATCCTCCAAACAACTTTCTTGTAATTTCAAAAAAGACCCTCAAATCTACCAAAATTACACTGAATTCAAGATAATTGTGGGTAACTCCAAATAACATAACAACAGCTTTACTGTATGTAGTAATAAAAAGCTGCGGGCTACACATTTCTCATTTGCAGCCGCTTCAGCCACCCCTACACTCTTTTCCACCGCGGTAATTTTTAAATTCACCGCTGCTACCTATCATAAATCAAATAAAAAAGGTAATCTGCCAGTTACCACACCTCCGCAACTTTTCCTACACCTAGACACACTTTCTGAAGTAGCTGTGTTTTTAACCGTCCTATTTTAACTTTTACGGCCCCACTACTAAAAAATTTCCCGGGTAAATAGAAAGGGAAAAAACTGTGGGAAAATTTACGAAAAAAGGGAGAGGGAATTTCAGACGTGGAAATTCTTTCCCGTGAAGGTCTGGCCGAACTGCCAATTAGAAGGTGCCACGTTCCATGAGGTTGAGGTACGACGGTCACTGCCCGTGACCCGGAAGGAAACACTCTGGCCCACCAAAATAGCATTGGATTGCCAATTTTGCCCCCAGTTACGGCTCATGCTCATCCAACCCGTACTCGATCCTTTCACACTCACCCTCACGATATCCCCTGCACCCGCGACGTTCGTGATTAAAACCAAGTTGAAGTAACGGAAACCGTTAATTGTGAACCGGATTCCGCCTTGTTTTCTACATGGCACCCTGTAATAATTCAAAAATAAATAAATACGAGTTTATTTCGTTAATAATTTTAACATTAAATAAGCTAAAAACAATTAATTATTTCTACATTTAAATGCAATTAATTATTAAGATATTTACAGAACTTAAGGCGTATATAGGAAGTAGACTCACCGGCGGTAAGCGACGGGGACGATTCCGGCACGGTACTCGGCGATCTTGAGGAACATAGGCATGGCGAGGTCAAAATGAGTGCGGGGAGGGTTACACCAGCCGCCATTGTCGTTGGGAAGAGCAAAATTGGGGGGACAGAAATTGGTAGCTGTAATGAAAATAGAAGGGCTACCGGAATGGCACCATTGGGGATCATTAACGCACTTGATCTCAAAGCAAGCGCCGCAGCTAAAGCCATTGTTGAACAGAGCCGTACTTAGCGCCGCCGTGTTGACGCCGTAGCCCTGACTGTACAGATTCCCGTACCCACACGCGCCGCCTACAAGAAAATCAAAAAAAAAAAAAAAAACCCAAATCAAGAAAATGTGGTGTAAGAAACAGGGGAAATGGGAAAAATAGAGAGAGATGGACAGACCCATAGTTCCGGAGGCGTCGCTGCCGCCGTAGAAGGTGGCGTGAGCGTCCTGCCAGGGGCCGCCGGAGTAGGAGCCGGGGATTCTGGCGTGGGAGAGGAGGAAGAGGGAGGAGAGAGAAGAAAAAATGCAGAGGAGAGAGAAAGAAGCCATGGCGGAAGAAGAGCAGAGGAGAATGGAAAAGGGGAGGAAGAGGAAGGGGTACTTATGGGGTGATGAGAACAGTGAAGGAATGGGAATCAAAGTCCAAATCCACTGCATACCCAGAGGCATAGGCATAGGCAAATGCAAGGGCCTCTGTAATTAATGTTTTTTTTTTTTTTTTTTTTATGTTAAATTATAAATTATATATTTTAGAAAAAAAAAACTCTAAATTTTGATTGAATTTATTTATTTTAAGAATATTTTTACTAAAATAAAAAGTGGTTATCCACATTGATGTGTAGACCCTAGACCATAGTTTTTGACTGTATTATTGCAATATGTAATTGGGTTTCTATATTTTTAGGTACCATTTATATATTTTTTTTAATGATAAAATCTCGACCGGAAAGAGTTTCATGTGATCTTCTTGACAGGTAAAGTTGTCATTTTGTTAAATATGTGACCTGTAAAACGCAAATAAAATTAGATACCGACACATTAATTATGGGGCTACGTTAGAAAAATAATACGTTTTGTGTGTTTCATGCATTGTTTACATGACATGATTTGTCGTATCTAAAGTGACTCCATTTTAACCGTTAGCGGTAAAAAAAAAATGTTTTACCGAGTGAAAATGAGTCTATAATTTAGTAGGGGGTTGGGTTTGGAATAAGTTATGTTAAGTGGGTTTAGAATTAGGCTGTGACTCTATTTCGGTCAAATTGACCTAATAAAAAAATGTCAAACCCATTAACCCCAAATTTTAATATTTTTCGAAAATATAACACAATCCAAATAACAAACCCAACTATATCATAGTAATATATATGATATGATATGATATGATATGATATGATATGATAAGAAAATCACTACAAGAGGAGTAAAATTCGGATTACATTGTTGATCGAATATCTCAAGGCAAAAACATTGTTTGAGATTCGAATCACTCCACAAGCAAGATCGATCATGTCTAGCTTGAATGATTCTTGTTGATCAAATATCTCAAGGCAAAAACACTTGATTGAGATTTGAATCACTCCACAAGCAAGATTGATCATGTCGAGCTTGAATGAGTCTACATGCAACCTAAATTACATAGAATTGCAAAGAAATTTAGTCATTAGCTAAAGAAGAGCACTTCTTTTACTATGTTTTTCCAAGTCTACTTACAAATACAACATACATGGCTTTATATAGCCTCAAAATGAAACTATTAAAGTCATTCCAAGAGTGGTAACATTCATACTTCATGCCATAATTAATCATTATATAATTGTAACCTAAAGTAAATAAAAAATCTTAAAATACATTAATAAAATAGAATAACTCTAAATTACTCTAAATTGTAATCCACCCAAAATTTATAACATGAAACATCATTGTTCTTCAATGTGGCATGAATTGAAATTTCTTTTGATAATTTCAACAATATTTTCTTCACATTTTCATTGAAGTATATTGTATGATTGATGTCTCTTGGTTCATATCAATATATATATGGTACAATATGTTTGATGAATTGATATGTTTATGATATGTGACTCTACGTTATGGTATATGATATAAAATGAATGATATGATTGAACATGAAAAATGATGAATTGACATGAAATACAACTCCGATACACGCATGAAAGATATGATAAATGATATGATAGGAAGGAAGATGCTAGTGAAGTTGTAATATATGACAATGAAAATGGAAAAATGTTGGGACCTTATGCATTATTCTGTGCTCATGCACGAAGGATACCCCTTCTCGTTTACGATAGTACGGACGTGTACACTACGAGACAGGGAAACGATTATTATGTTTACCATAATGCTGCCATGACGGTTGTTATTCTTAATAGGTGTCCGGCATCAACAACTACCGGAGAATGCTCACCCAACCAAAAAAGGACCCAGAAGGTGTGCAAACTGACTGGTGGGTCCATACTTGCACATTTGAACCGTGTAGGAAAATTAAGTACACATCCAATTTTTCGTTTAGGATAGTCGTCATAGAAAAATAAACTGATATAATAAGTCACTCATGATTGTATGTGTTTGCATCTAACTCTAATAGTGGGGTCATTTATTGAATATTTTTTTAACATACTCAAGTCACGTGCTACTTCTATCTAAGGTAAAAGTAAGACATTCTTATACGACTGACGACAATATCGCAATTCGAGACCATGACACATGCATATGGTATGTTAAAGATATTTAATACTAAATTATAGTTTACCGTATGTATTATATTTGATATTTTATTATAGGCAAATATCTTTCCCTATAATGTTTTTTTTCCATTTATTACTATTTTCATATCCTTTAATTTATTTGATTATAAATAAAGAACTTTCAAACACCATTGAGGTAGGGTGGATTAAGCAAACCTTCTCAGGGTAAGTGTACTTATTTTGTTAGACTTAGGTTAAAATAAGATGTTTTAAATTTTAACGCTTATTTATTTCATTTAGTATTTTGTTGTGTTGTTTTAAAGATGTTTCCGAACACGTAAGTCCATGACAATGTTTTAAGATAAAATTTGTGTCTCATAAAGAAGTTTAAACGCTTATTTCCGCATAGAAATGATTAGGTTATGATGGTGGTATCAACTATAAATAAGTAGAAATCAAGTATCGTTATACAACTCAACTCAATTTTTATGGTTTAGGTTGGATATTACAAGTAGATGAAAAACAGGCAATTCATCCCAGAGTTATTAATTTTTTTTTTTTTTTTCTGAACGATATGGGTCAAATTGGTTAGGACTCGTATGTATATGGTTCAAGTTGGTCGAGTTTAAAATGAGCTAAAGGATAAGTGAAGAAAAAGAAGGCTAGGGAATCCCACCACTTATTGCTTCAATCACAAGCTGTGTGAAGCTGCAATGGCTGCGATTCAACCAAAACATTGGCTTAATTCTTACTCTTCATCCCCTCGTAAACGACAACAACAACTTGATACCATCTACTTTCACTCTCATACCACACAAACTTCATTAAGTATAACATTAAAAAGTTTAGAGACAATCTATGAAGTATTGATAGACTGTTTGGTACGTAAATTTTCACAGCCAAACAGGTTATTAAATTTTTTTATTTTATTTAAATATGATTTATTAAAATTAAAAAAAAGTTATTGGGGTCTTTTATTCCCCATATAATTTAATTGTATTAAAGTGTAGGGTAGTTTAAAAGATTAAAAAGAATAGCCTTTTGAATGAGTAAAAATAGTTTAAAATATCAATTTTTTTAGGGGGAAATTTTGGGAATATTACGAATCAAATTGAAGAATTGGATATTATTATTCTCCATATATAAATATTTCTTTTAAAAGGGAAAATTGAGTTCCGAAATTCGTGGGCCACCCATGGGTAAATTTGGTAACGTCCAAACTGTCAGCGGGGCCCACCTCGAGCATAGCTACCCGGATTTACCGGATTTCGGAGCTGGGCCCCACTTAATTCGACCCGTTTTCCTTTTGTATTTTGTATTTTATTATTTATTTTTTATTTTTATCAAATTATAAAAATTATACGAATTTATCGAATATAAACTAATAAATGAAATTATTTTAAAAAACATAAAAAGAGTGCATTAGTAATTACATTCTTCCAACGGAATCAAATTCATAATTTCACCCTTCGTTCCGATGAAAATGACTTATCTAACCCTATTAGTTCGTACTAATTACTTTATTTATATGTATATAATTTCATCTTTCTGCTAAAATGACTTATCTACCCCTACTAGTTCATACTAATTACTTTATATATATTAATTCGTAATTTCACCCTTCTTCCGATAAAATGACTTATCTACCCCTGCTAGTTCATATTAATTACTTAAAGGTAAAAATTGCTCCCAAAGGAAGGCAGAAGTGATTAGCATGTGAATTCAATTATTATGTTTTTTCTTTTTTGCTGTTTTACCCTTCAACTCTAAGTAATAGTAGAAGTAGCCCATGTCCATTCTCACCCACCTTCACTTATTGCACCCACCTCCCTTTCTTTTCAAACTTCTATCTTTTTTTTATTTTCAATTCATACAAATTATGCATTATAATGCAAATTATTGATCTTACGTATCAATATTTCTTCGCTACTATAGAGTAAACCTTGTAGATCCTAAATTTAAATGTATAGTTGTATAGTTGAGGGAAGATACTCATTTCTCTCGTTTTTAGCTATGTATGTCTTTAAGAACAACCTAAACAGATATGCATGTGATCTAGTGGCTTTAGGTTTGAAAATATCCCGATTTTGCAAGTAACTTGAGTGGAAGTGTTGATTGTGTTGAAGAAGATAAGTGAGAGATGTTCATGTTATCTTCTATTTCTTGACGGTGTTCTAAAAAACAATCATTACCTAATTATGAAGAGGGTCATCAACATGCGTCTAAGATTCGAAGTCTCAATTCAATTTGTTGTAACTTGAAATAATTTGAGTATACGTGACGTGAAAAGATTAGATTAGATGTGGACGTGAATACGGTGAAGTGGGTCCACAATCACACCGACCAACCAGATACAGGGAATCTGCCACGTCATGGGTTGATCATAGATTGGATGCAGGATTTGGATGAGATGGCAGGGCACGTGATTTTGGTGGGATTGGTTTCTTTTGCATGCAAATCTTATTAAGCCCATGCAGACAGGTGTCACGTGATTTCATTTCATCTACACCGCCTTATCCCCACAACAAAATAATAATATTTAGTAGATTATGAATTTCTTTTTCTTTTTTGGTCTTAATTTTTTATTATCAATATATATATATATATATCCATACATATATTTATTATAATCTTATTTCATTTTCAAATTATTTTATTTTTCAACAACTTTATAATATAAATCTTTAAAATATAATTTTACAAAATATATATGGCAATTAGATTTAAATATTAGCCCAATGTTTGAAAATAAATATATATAACTTTGTTTAACTTTTACTTAAAAAAAAGTTTAAATGGATAATTCAAAAGTTTAAATAAATTATTTGAATTATCCAATTAATTTCATCATTTAATAAAAGAATATAGTTAATAGATTTTCAAATGGTAACAAATGAAATACTATTTTTAAATTCAAAATCATATAATTAACTTTTTCTTTTTTTGGTAAGAACAATTAAATTAATAATTAGAATTTGACATGCATTAATTAAACTTTGTTTGTTAAAGATTTTTGTCAATATGGGAAGATTATATAGCAACCCATTAGTGGACTTTAATCAATAATAATAATAATAATAATAAAAAAAAGAATTGTAGTATTATTCTTACAATTTTATTTAATAATTGAAAAGAATAAAAAATGATAAATAATGTATTGTTGGCACAAAATACATGTAGATAAGAAAGGCTAAAATTAATTATTTTTCTAAAAAAAATATTAATATTTAGAAAAGAAAAAAAAAACATGTGAGGGATGCCCTAGGCGATTGGATCAGAAATTTTCTTACAAAATCAGACCAAATTTTATCTGCCACACGCTATCTGAAAAAAAATAATAATAATAATTTGAATTTATTTTGGGCCCACAATTGGCCCATTTGTCTTTTTTTTTTTTCATATATATTAGGAATATATTTTTTTAATGAAAGGATATGGTATTTTTATTTTAAAATGAAGGAAGAAATAAAAAAAACAATTTCAATATTCCATACTACAATAATTTTAGAATAAGATTTTTAATTATTTTATATCTTCAACAACATTTAATTAAGAAGAACATAGGCCTACCTTGGCTTAGTTGTCAATAAGCTAATAAAAAATATTGAGGCTAAATATGATTAAACATTAGATTAAATATAGAAAATATTTTTAAATATTACATTTTGTATTGAAAAAATATTTTCTTTCAAAAGTTTTAAAATCTCCTTTAAATTTTTAAAATATTCTTAAATTTTATAAAATATAATACTTTTTTCAAAAAATACACTTAGACTTTTTGTACCTTTGATTTTTTAAAATATATTTTTGAATTTTCAAAAATTTTAGTAATATCCTTAAAAAAAAAATTTAAAAACTTCAAAAACATCTAAAATATTATGCTTTTCATTCTCTTCTTTGCCCTGATACGTACCATCTCAAAGTAGACATAACTACAAGAATAAAAGCCATTTATTCTCTAGTCTTGTAAAAGCCGATTGATAGGCCTGCCATAAACATCCTTCAAACTTATATAAATGTTTCAAATATATATATTTATAATAAAAAAATGACTACATTGTTAGACAAAAAGTCGATATGACTGAAAGTTATTTTTTTAGATTTAACCCAAACAAGCATCTAAACCTCCATTACACGATTCTCCATTTCAACTATAAATTTTCATTTCAACTATAAACATATAATGAATGTCAATAATTTATAAATGATTTGTACACAAAGATGGGTTTCAGATTATTTGATCAAACCTAACAAAGTTGTAACTTGAAATAAAAGGTAAATCACATTTTTAGTCTCAACCACATAGCTCTGAAGTAAACAAACCTAATTTAACCCATGGGCTCAACACTTAACAAACCTCGTCAGCTCAATTGCTTAGTTTGTGATTATACTTTTGGTAATTTTTTTTTTAATATGCATAAATTTTTAGGCTAACTTTGAAGCACCACAATTATTCAAGAGACGATAATTTGACCTTACGAAAGAGTGACTCGAACTCATTTCTTTTAAGCATTCTATTATCAAAATTCTACTGCTCATTTACTCATTCACTATCTATAGTTATAGGTTCACTTTGTTTTGTCTTTCATGGACTAGTATAAAACAGACTAATCTTTGATTAATGGTTGGGTAGCTTAACTTAAACATGTGAAGGATAGTTTTCAGTGTTACTTTACTCATTTAGATGAGTTCAAGATAAATTCCTCTTTTTTAACTCTACCAATTACTAATCAATATGTTCTGATTAAGAGACCTACTTAAATTATTGAAAGGTTAGACTCTGGATTACTTTACAAGACAACTATTTGTGTTGCTTACTAAAATTATTGAAAGGTTTGACTCTCGATTACCTTACAAGACAAAACTATTTGTGTTGCTTAGTGTCACCGTCTCACGTCTTGAACAAACATGACTGCGACACTTAGCAACAACTATATCTTCATACCTAGACAAACTCAAACCAAACCATTCCACACATCTTTCTTTCTCTCTTAGACTCAAAAAAACCTTACCAAATGGTCTCCTATTTCATGTGACTAGTACAAGATCTAGTTCATCAGGTTAAGCAAGAATTCAAATCTTAGTATAATTTTTCCTATGCCTTCCTTTGATGGCTTGGCCACACCTTTTTGCAACTCGCAAGATACAACAATTTTTTGAAGTTCCCACCGCACCAACCTCAAATGAACTAAGACACTTTCCTAAAGAGCTCTACTTCAGTTACAGTTATTCAATAATCAAATTTTATGATACCATCAAGTTATCCAGAATTATATAGTAAAGCAAACAAAGACAATATGAAACATACCCACGCTCATACGTTTGAAGGGGATTATGAGACAGTAATGAATCAGCAACAGCAACCATCTGGTCATCTTCTTTTCCGCATTTCAATTGATCTCCAAAAGAGGGCACCTACAACCTTTTATTAGCTTCATGCAACAATAATATTGATCTGATTCCTTCACTAAAGATAACCCATTTACAACCAACCTAAGGAAATTACAAATCTAGCCCAAGGGTAGAAACCTTTCAAGTACTTCCCACTTAACCTCCCAATTTCCACATTCTGACTGGCTATAGGGGTGAGATTTGTGAAATGTGTCTTTTGGCGAATCCTCATGGCATCAACCCTGCAGAAAATGTTGTTGAGAGATGTCTGGTTTATTTCATCAGCACGAGCTTTTTAAGTACTTTAATAGAGTGACTGACTATTATGCAGACTTAATAAAAAAATAAAAAATAAAAAATAAATAAATATTGCGACTAAAACATAGAATAGTAGAGGATCCAGCATGCGGAACACGGCGATCATTAGAAATTCACGAAATAATGGAATTTCAATCTGACTTGTTCATAAAGATTTTGCTTTTAAGTTTAATGTTTAATAACCATATCGTGATCAAATATTAAAAAAATTAGAAAATAGTTTTCAAAAACTAGTTTTGTTTTTAAATTTTGCTAAAATTTCACAGATGCTTCTAAAGAGTAGGGAAAAAGAACTTATAACAATTTAGTTTTTAGAAAACAGATAAAAAGAAGTAAAAACTTCACTCGACATGTTTAGTTCATTTTCAAGGAAAAATGGTTTCATATTTGGTGAAGAAGAGTACCAACCGTGCAACTTCAGGGAGCAACACCTTGTCATACAATGTTTTTTACTAGAGAGAAGCTCATATATCTAGTGAATAATCTCCTTCAGAGAAAGAACATCATCACGTGGATGGGCTTCCTCCACTCGAACTTGCACTTCATCTCCAATTTGTGCTCCAACAGATACCCACGCAGATGCTTGGAATCCCACCTATAAATTCCGAATACATGAGATACTAAATGTAACAAAATTCACATTTAGAGACTACAAGCGCCTATAGAGTTTTATATAGGTTCTACTTTGCTTGAGCTAAGGACAAATGAAGGAATCTAACAGTAACACAAATGGTTGGAAAAAAAAAGAAAAAAAAAGTCGTCTGTTACTGTATGCATCTGATATTCTCATACGTTTAAAGAGCATCAAGTGGGGCAATTTAGCTCTTCCTTCAGGCTTCAAACCCACTGAAGCAAGATGTGAAGAGAGCAACAATCGGTGAAAGAGAGGAACATCGACAGTAAATACCTGATAATGTTATGATAAATAACAGAACAAACCAGGAGGCCATTGACAGTAAATAAACAGCACAATGTGAAGAGAGGAACAACCGGTGAAAGCAGAAAATAAATCAGATTAGGTTCACCCTCCCTTAGCCAAAAGTCATTAAACTAAGGCATGCATCGTGATATGATAGATGTTATCCTTCAATCCTCACCTCGACCAGCAGCAGGGCTGCAATTCGATCTTTAATGAACCTAAGAATCAATGCCCGATATCTATTTTCTTTTGGTTTCCTTCTCAAGTACTCTAATACCCAATAACGAAGACTGGTGCTTGAGAGCTTCTTTGCCAATTTAGTATTTATATTCACAGTTGATGCCATTCCTTCTAATTGACCATGGGAATACGGAGGAGAGTCACCCCTAAGGAATGCCTTTACCTACGTATAATATAACAGAAAAACTAAGTTAAAAGGAATATAAAGTGGTTAAAAACAGTCTTCAAATGAATGATTATTAATTATCCAAGCAAAACCAAACACAATTTAACAAGCTGGCATGAAGAGTACAGTTCCAATGATAGTAATTTTAAACTGAAATTTCTGACAGTAATGAGCAAGTAAACATAGAACTAATATGTTGAAAAATGATGACAGTACGACTATGAAAGCTGCAAGGGTAGTTTCCTCGACACAGGTGGAGAAGAGAGAACTGAAACCATTAAGTATGATCAGTGGAGGTGTTTCAAGTAACACAATGGTCTGTCAGGAATAAGATCCATTCATTTTTTTTAACCAACACAATGTACTGTTCTCATCTTTTCTCAAGGACAAAGCAAGATCCCAAGATGTCCATGATGGATGAGCAGTGCAAGCTCAATAAAAATTCAAAATCAAATTTTAACACCAAGACATAACAAATGAGAGGAAATACCTGATAATGTGCAAGAAGATCCATATATCTACGGATGGGAGATGTAAATTGGACATAACCAGGAATTCCCAAAGTCCCATGGCGTATCGGCTTCCTGAAATCTATTTCAGCAGCACGCATTGTTCTAACAATTGCAGAGCTCCTAACAGGTCCTTCTTGAAGATGTGCAAATGCAGATGTATCTACATTTGTTTGGGGTTGTCCTCTATAGGGCAACGGAATGTTATGGTGATATCCAAAAGTTGCTATAACTTCTCCACATAGAATCATCATCTCAGAAACAAGTCGCATGGCAGGATCAGCTTGGTTCTCCACATAGAGATTGATTTCAGGATCCAGGTCTTGTGGATTTGCTACCTTGATCCGTGTCTCCAAAGAGGCCATGTCAATTGCCCCCTGAAAATTTAGAACATGGACATCTGATAATAATATACAAAAAGGAAAAAAAAAAAGAAAAAAAAGAAAGAAAGAAAAAAGAGAGAGTAAAAGAAGACCTTCTAGGAATAGAATCCGATCAAACTTCTTTAGAATAAGTCTGAAAGGGTTTTAAATTAAACAATTTTCACAGAACTTGATTAATAAACAACTATCATTCTTGATAATATTTTAAGCCACTGAGCCCTTGAATGAAAATGATAACTATCTATAGAGATACCTGTTGCCTTCGCCATGCTAATCGCAAAGTTGCAGCTTCAGATAGAGTTTTAAGTTCTGCCTCCTCTTCCAAGTTCAAACTAAGCAGCTCAGAAGCACTTTCATATGTCAGCATGTACGTTGGTTTGATGATTGAGTTTTCCACGGAGTATTCTGCAATGCTATTAAGGCATAGAAGGGTTAGCATTTACATGTTTGCGTTCATCGTCAAGACATCTTAAAGGATGCCATAACTTCAAGAAATCCACAGTTCCATTCTACAATCCCAGTAGATAATCAACAGTTTCCACAGAATATGCTAAAACAATGTTCAGAAAGTAGGTGGAAAAATACAATTAAAAGATTTCTACAACACAAATGAAAGTGTAATAAGAAAAATCTTCTGTATCACCATACTCTGATAAATGATTTTATGATTTGAATAAAAAGAATCACCTGATAGTTGCATGACATCAGTAACAAACTTCACGAACTGCAAAACCTAATAGGAAAAACTAAAAAGGAAAAGCCAAAAAACCTTCCAAGGGGCATACAATCCCATAGACAAATTTTCTTATTTTCACAACTGAAATTTATTGTGCCGGCCTACTCTAGAATTTTTTCCCCCAAATATAACTTCTGTAGTGAAGAATTCTCATATTAAAATATAATAAGGTAAGGACAAGCTTTGCTTTCCATCAAAATAACAGAACAAAATTTAGTGAAGAAGTTTCATATTAAAAAAAAAAAAGAAATAGTGTGTAAACAAGCTTTACCTTCCATCAGAATGAAGGACAACAGATACAGTAACTGCAGTGCAAGTCTCTCCCTGTTTTAAACTCATTCCCTCCATTGCTAGTTTTTCAGGAAACATAGGGTATGTGGCTGTTGGAAGAAATATAGAAGTGCCTCTTTTCATGGCCTCCCTATACATGATAAACCAAAAGAGAGTGGGCATGGTACAAAATACCACCACAAGTTAAAGCTTTAAGAATTACCTGTCTACTATGCTCCCTGGTCGAACAAATCTAGCTGGATCGGCAACATGAATCCATATTTTAATTCGGCCATCTGACAATCTTGTTGCACTCAAGGCATCATCAAGCTACAATATTGCATGATAAGAACATGAGGTGGAGCCTCCCAAAATTTCATGAAAAAAGAATAGCAATTCAGAGTGGCATAAACCATCAGATGTAATGATTCTTATTTCCGTTTTTTGTTTTTTGTTTAATGATCATTTGTTCGACCAGAGCATTTCAAATAAGAAAAAGAACGTATTACCTCATCTGATCATTACAAATAAGGCAAAAAAAAAAAAAAAAAAAAAAAAAAAAAAAAAAAAAAAAAAAAAAAAAAAAAAAAAAAAAAA